TGGGAGGGATGGTCTACAGGAAAAATGAGGACAAAAGTAATAGGTCAGGTATGTTTTAGTTACATATATATCATATCTCATTTTTAAAAATGAATAGTGATTTCAGTTTAGCTATGGTATTTTATAACACACAGAATATTGGGTTTTTTTTCATTATTTTATAATTACACAGGAGCTGGTAGCAATCTTCATTCTGCTTCCTCTGGTATATAGACTATAAGATAGCCTTCCACTAAATACGATTTTCATTTTTTCCCTACACACATTATTTTTTCTATAAAACCCCTGCTTTATTTGGTGTCCATATTAGATGCACAAGGGGCTAAAATTAATGTTGTTTGGGCAATCAAAAACTGGAACTTCCTTATTTCTAAATGTTAGACTCTGCAACCTGAACTTTCTTTCATGCAGTGTTTTTTTCATTTATTTAATAGCTGAAAACAGAACATCTGTCTTGTTCTCTGCTATTAACAATTGAAAATAGGAAATGTTTGGGAGTGAGGAGTGATGGTGGGACAGAGGTTATTGTTGGGAAAATCTGGAAGAAAAGGGGAAAGGAACAGGATCTCTTGTAGAGCTCAAAAGCCAAAGGAGCAACAAGGCAAAAATCCAATCAGGGCCGGTCCAACCATTAAGAGAACTAGGCGGTCACTTAGGGTGCCAAAATTTGGGGGGTGCCAAAATTATTTGCAGAACAAAATAATAGGAATATCATTTTAATAACAGCCCTGGCCAGCTACGGCTCCACCTTGGACCAGCCCTGCCCCCATCCCTGCTAGTGCCCCTCATTCCCGACCTGTAGCCCCTGTCCCCAGGCCAATAGTGTCCCTGGCTCCTGCCCAGAGCTCCCACCCTGTGGGGCCAGAGCCGGGGCCAGGTCTCCGGGATGCTCTCCCCACTGAGCTGTAAAACTTCTTACTTTCCTCAATATTGGAAGTGGTGGGGGCACCAACGTATACAGTTCACTTAGGGTGCCAATTACCCTTGGACTGGCCCTGAATCCAATGCATAAAAAGATAAGGAGGATTTCCAAAGTATAGAAAAAACTAATAAGGAGAAACTGTATGACTGTTCTTCTCTTTCTCTCTCTTCAGTGTCCACCCCAATACTTAGAAAACTTTCACACTAGCACCAACTCCTTCCTTCATCTTTGTTTTGCCCAGGAAAGAGAAACTGTTATTCAATCTGCCTTCCATTCCTTCCTCCATGTCTTTGCTCAGTGCAGGTCAATCTTATTGCATGCCATGTTGGCTAGTAGGAAAATTAATTAAAAATGTAATTTATGATCATACAAGGTGGCTAACATGTAGGTTCTTGTGACACATTTAAAAGATCTTTTAAATTATAACTCGCTGCCACAACCAGCTTGCACAACAAAGGAAAAGCACTTTGAGCTACAAGTTTCCACTGACCTCAATAACACAGGATCAAACCTTTAGTTACTCATATACTTTCATAGTTTCTAGGGTCGGAAGGGACCTGAG